AGAATACTAGAAAGATGTTTACCTGTGCTTTATTGGCTACACAAAGGCTTTTGATTGTGTGGATCATGAAAAGCTATAGACAACATTGTGAAGAATGAGTATTCTGGAACACTTAACCATGCTCATTAGGAATCTGAACATAGACCAAGAGGCAGTTGTTTAAACAGAAGAAAAGAACACCGAATGGTTTAAAATTAGGAAAGGCGTATGACAGAGTTATATTCTTTCACCATACTTATTCAATCTCTATGCTGAACAAATCATATGAGAAGCTGGATTATATGAAGAAAAATGTGGCATTAGGATTGGAAGAAGATTCATTAACAACCTGCAATGTGCAGATGATGCAGCCTTGATTGCTGAATCAAAGAGGACTTAAAGCGCTTATTGATAAATATCAAAGACTACAGACTTCTGTATAGGTTGCATCTCAATGTAAATAAAACAAAAATCCTCACCACTGGACCAATAAACAATATCCATATGAATGGAGAAAAAACTGAAGTTGGCAAAGACTTCATTTTACTCAAATCAATCAGCATTCAGGGAAGCAGTCAAGAAATCAAATGATGTATTACATTAGGCAAATCTGCTGCACAAGACCTTTTTTAAGTGTTGAAGAACAAAGATATCAGCTTGAGGACTAAGGTGTGCCCTGACCCAAACCATAGTATTTTCAATAACCTCATATGCATGCAAAAGATAGACAGGAAATAAGAACTGATGCACTTGAGTTTTGGTATTGGAGGAGAATACTGAAAGTACCATGGACTGCCAAAAGAACAAACCAATCTGTGTTGGAAGAAGTATAGCCAGAGTGCTCCTTGGAAGCCAGGATGGCCACACTTCATCTCTCAGACTCCAGATATATTGACAGGAGAGACCAATCCCTGGAGAAGGCTATTATGTTTGGTAAAGTGGAAGGTCGGAGAAAAAAAAGATGACTCCCCCCCCAATAAGATGGACTGGCACAGTGGCAGCAGCAAGTGGTTCAGGCATAGCAATGATTGTGAGGTTGGCCCAGGACTGGGCATAGGGTTGCTATGAGTCAGTACTGACTTTATGGCACCTAACAACAACATGAGTTAGAACCAACTCGGCAGCATTTAACAACAACTGAAGGATATATTGAGAAACAATAACTTCACACTTTGATATTTTTGTTCAATATAGATTCGTATAATTTTGTAGGAGTCCTGGTGTGGCACTCTTGGATAAGCACTGGACCACTAACCAAAAGGTTGGCAGTTCAAATCCACAAGCCTCGCCTTGGAAACCCTATGCAGGGTCGCTATGGGTTGGAACAGACTCGAAGGCACTTAACAACAACAACAACAACGACAACATATGGAGCTCTAGTAGCATAGTGGTTATGAATCGGGCTCCTAATCTCAGTCAGCAGTTCGAAACTACCAGCTGTTCCATGGGAGAAAGATGAGGCTTTCTACTCCCGTAAAGATTTACAGCTTCGGAAACCCTGTACAGGGTCGGAACTGACTCCACAGCACATAACAACAACAACAACAACATAATTTTGTAGCAATATTTTTTTAGTTACCCTTGCATAATGATTGTTGTCACATGCCACTGAGTCAGTTCTGACTCCCAGTGACGCTGTGAACAAGTGAAGGAGACACTGCCTCTACCTGCGTCACCCCACAATCCTTGCTGGGCTTTAATCCATTATTGCAGCCACTATGTCAGTCAGCTCATTGAGGATCTTGTTCTTTTGGCTGAGTTTACTCGGGGTCCTGGTGTGGCGCTGTGGGTTAATGCGCTGGACTGAAAAGTCATTTGAATTGCAAGGTCAGCGGTTCAAGCTCACCAGTCACTCCTTGGAAACTCTACACAGGGTCACTAGGGGTCAGAATCGACTCTACGCTATGGGTCCGAAACAACAACAACTCCTTCTCCAGGGACTAGTCCCTCCTGATAACATGCCCAAAGTAAACAAGACAAAATCTTGCAATCTTTACCTCCAAGACAGATTTATTCATTCTTCTGGCAGACCATGGTAAATTTAATATTCTCCACCATCATAATTCAAATGCATCAATTCTTTTTATATCTTCCTTATACTTTGTCCAGCTTTCACATGCATATGAGGTCATTTAAAATGACTGAGGTCAGGCCCACCTTAGTCCTCAAGCTGACATCTTTGCCTTTTAGCACTTTAAAGAAAGTCTCTGCAGCAGCTATGTCTAAGATCTACACTGATTTCTTGAATACTACTTCCAAGAGCACTGATTGTAGATTCAAATAAAATGAGATCCTTCAGTATTTTTCTGTTTATCATGATGTCTCGTATCCAGTTTGGAGAACTTTTGTTTTCTTTATCTTGAGAGGTAATGCATACTAAAGACTGTATTCTTGGATCTCCATCAGTAAGTTCCTCAAGTCTTCATCACTTTCAGCAAGCAAGGTTGTGTCATCTGCATATCACAAGTTGTTAATGAGTCTTCCTCCAATCCTAATGCCTCTCTTCTTCATAGAATCCCACTTCTCAGATTATTTGATCCGATTACAGATTGGATAATTATGGTGAAAGGATGCAATCCTGGTGTACACCTTTCCTAATCTTAAACCACTCAGTATCTCCTTGTTCTGTTCTAATGAAAGAGAGCCTTTTGGTCTATGTACATTTTCTGACGGAGCACAGTTAAGTGTTCTAGAATTAGCATTCTTCATAATGTTATCCATAAATTATTATGACTCCAACAGTTGAATTCCTTTGCATAGTTAATATACATGTGTCTACAAAGTAGGAATTATTCGAGTACTTTCTTCACACAGTAGATAATGCAAAAAGTTTTAACTGTCCTGTTAAAAGTTGATAGTATTATCCTAAGAGTGTGAAATACAAATTGCAGAGAAAAATGATACAC